TTTTTTTTTGGTCTATGTTTTCTTTCACACCAATGACTAATATGGAAATATGTTTTGCATGACTGCACATGTATAACCTTTATCAAATTGTCTGCCTTTTCAATGATGGGGGAGGGGAGATAGGGCGGGAGAGAATTTAGAACTCAAAATTGTAAAAAAAAAAAGTCAAAAATTGCTTTTACATGTAATTGGAAACAAAATATTAAAGTTCAAAAAATAGGATATGTAAAAGGGAGGCAAAGTAGCATAATATATTAAAATTCAGGTGAATAACATTTATAAAGTATTTGCTGTGTGGCAAACAACATATTTAGATATCTATAGAAGAAACATATATCACCTACAGTATATTTTACAACATGTCTGCGTGTAGAATAAGTACAAAATAAATACCAACTAGTTGGGAGAGAGGGTGAATGGTCAGGGAAAGCTTTATGTAAGAGGTGGTGCTAAAGCTGTGTCTTGAAGGAAGAGAGGGATTAAATTCCAGGCACCGGAGATTGCTGTTACAATGGCTTAGAGACGGGAGATGAACCCCCTTGTGTGAAGAAGAAGGAAAGGGTGAGTTTGGCTTATTATGAAATGTGGGAATGGGGGAGTGACATGAAAAGAAACTGGAAAGACAGACTGGGTCCAGGCTGTGAAGTCCTTTAAAAGCCAAACTGAAGTGTTGATATTTTATCCCAGAGGTAATCAATAGCAACCGGGGTTTATTAAGTAGAGGAGAGGCATGTTCAGATCTGAGCTTTAGAAAAATCACTTTGGCAGCTCTGGATAAGAGAGATTCAGGACTTGAGGCAGATAGATAATTAGGAGTACTGGTGTGGGGTGATGAGAGATGGAACTAGGCAGAGGAGAGGGGGGCTTTGAGAAGACACAAGTAGGCAGTCGGGTATGGGAAAGATCGTGGTTGGAGAAAGGGCAAGATATGGTGGCTGGTAGAATCTGCGTGGCTCATGAACCTGCCTAAGAGATGTATGAATTTGTGAAATACACAGACTTACCTGAAAATCTTCTAAAACTTCAACTTAGTATCTAAAGGAATATGTGCAAAGTCTCTAGATATAACAAATGGCCTTTCTATGAACTACTTTCTGCCCCCTTTCAAGTCATATCAAATCTATTTCCTATATTACATACCCTTGCCTTTGGGTTTTATCCCAAGTAGGCCCCATGAGGGCAGTGACCATTAGCCTGCCTAGCCCCAAGGGCAGCATTCTGTACAAAGACAATGAACAGACAGACATTAGTTTTATCATTACTCTTCATTTCACAACATGATAACAAGGAAAACAAAATTATTTACTCTAAATTGGTAAGTATTCCTAATGCATGGAACAGTTCTTTCTCCTGAACAACCACCAGAATTATTGTTCCATTCTGCTGTATTCAAACCTACCACTTGGTGTTTTAAAGTGCACTAGATCCTGGCCTGATGAGTGCAAATAATGAATCCCTTGAAGTGATTGTGTCTACTTGAATTCACACTATTTGATGATGTAACTTTGTGAAATATGGTCATTGGTCCCAGTCCAACAGAAATATGCTATTCAAATTTGAATAATGTTGCCACAATCAGGGGATTCATTATTCACATTAATCACAACTTTGCATTAACTGTGAGTTATTATTACTGTAATCTACAAACCTTAACTCTTATTCAGTATATAGGGCCCTCAGTTTCCTTTAATTAATCAGATTCTATAATGCCTTAGACTGTGGTTCTTTTAAAGTTTCATGATTCTCTGACTGCCTAGCAGTATGAAAAGGGACTCAACTAGGAGTCAGTGAGCCTGGGTTCCAATCTTGGCTCTGCCACTTACTACCTGTGTCCTTGGCCAAATTACTCCACTTTTCTGGGTCCCAGTTTCCTCATCTGTAAAATGGGGAGGGGGAGAGTGTCAGATATGTTGACCACTAAGGGCCCTTTCAACTTTAAATCTATGATCTTTTGACATAAGTCAAACTTTCCATCTTTTCATCTTTTTTTCTTCTGTGTTTATACACTAAGACCACTTGTGTGTGTGTGTGTTTTAAGAAATTCATTTTCCCAATAACAAGGAAAATGGAAAGGCATTCTTCAAACTCCTTTTATCTTCTCTTCTAATAGGAAGATAAGCTTGCATTTTGAGTATAGATGAAAGTCACCTGAACGTGGCAGAGATACAAATATTATGCAAGTTACTGCAGAATTATACCTGCTCTCCATATTTGCCAGAAGTAAAATCCTCAGTCCTAGGTCACTCTCACTAGAAACTCCCTGGAAGATGGTTAAGGCATTCTGCTGTCAGAAGTCTTCAAAGCTGTCAAGTCAGCCAACTAGTATTGATAATATCTGCCATGTGTCAGACATTGTGCTAAGTGATATGGGAAGGACAAAGAAAAGCAAAAGACAGTGCCTGCTCTCAGGGAGCTCACCATCTAAGGGGGGAAACAGCATGCAGACAATTATGGACAAATAAGATATAGTGTCTAGGATAAATCAGAGAAAGACATCAAAGACACCAAGATTTTGGAGGACTGGGAAAGGTTTCTTATAGAAGGTGGGACTTTAGTTGAAAACTGAAAGAAGCCAGGGAAGTGAGGAGGCAGAAATGAGGAAGGAGAGTGTTCTAAGCATGGAGAACATCCAGTGAAAATGTCCAAAGAAGGGAAATGGAGTGTTTTGTGTGAGGAACGTCAAGGAATCCAATGTCACTGGATCTCAGAGTATATGGAGGGAGTAAGGTGTAAGAAGACTGGAAACGTAGGTAAAGTCAAGTTATGAAAGGCTTTAAAAGTCAGACAAAGGATTTTATATTTTATTTTGGAAGTCATTAGAGCTAATTCAACAGTGGGATGTCAATTCTATCTCACCTCAACAGGTACTCCTAACTTCCCTTCTCTTCTCTTACTAACTTCTCGTTTGTCTCGCCAACTTGTCTTTCTTATCTTGCCAACTATCTTCTCCTAAAGTCTTTTTCCTCACCATCCTCCCTGAATTCTTTTCTTCCTTCTCCTCATCTCCATCTCAAATTATTCATCTTCTCCTTCTGCTCCAACCCTTGTCTTCTCTTTCAATCAGTTCTCAAGTCTTCTCAAATTCCCCTTCCCAAATTCAATCTCTCGCCTTCTCCACAATTTTGAATCCTTAAGAATCTCCACAATTCCATCTCCTTCTTCAGGTAAAATATTTCTTCTACATGACTTTATCCCAAAGAATAGCACTGGATAATAAATCATTTGAAAGTACAAATCTACTACTAGTTGGGTTCAACTATAATTCAACTCAACTCTGCCTTTATTATGTCTAGAATCTTCCACTAAAGTGCTACTTCCATGCCTGGTCACTGCATAAGAGAGATATCAAGTTCTCAAGTTTTGGCAGGTTCCATGAAGATGAAAAGGCTTCCTGTACAGGCCCTAGGACAGATTGTGTCATCTTGCTAAGTTCAAAAAGTCTCAAAATCAGGTTGGCCTCAAGTGATGATTTCTTTTTAGCCAAAGAGATTTTCAAAGACAATTTTCCCAGGTTGAAAAGGAGTTATGGCCTATGTCAATGCAGGGCATTTGTCCCTCAACAACCCCCAGGTCCACAATGTACAGCGAAAAGTATTGTGATAAATATCGGAATGTGTTTTGCTGCCCCAGTGGATCCATGATTCCAGTGGTGTGGGTGCTCCTTCCAAAGAAAGAGACTGCTACCCATAGGTACCATCTCACTCTCTGCCCCCTTAGTCTACTAACTCCCATTAATCCTGCAAGGAAGTCTATACTAGGTCTTCCTCTAGACCTTCAGATCTTTGCATGGATAATAACGGAGCATGCAGCCTGACTCGGAGGATTCACCCAGTCTTGCTGCATGACCAACCTCCTGCCTTGTCCAGACCTACATGTCTGATCTCCTTAATACTCTTACTCTTATGCCATTCTTCTTTAAGCTTTGTATCTCTCCCATTGTCTAGGGTATAAGAGGTTAGATGCTGAGAGAGAGACAGAGATTAAATAAGAAGCAGTTCCTAACCTAATGAACAAGTACAAATAACTGTAATACAAATTCTGTAGTGGTAAGTACATAAGAGAAGAACAAAATGCAATGCAAACAATGCGAAATGCTGCTTCATTTGACAGGAGGGAATGGAATCATTTGTGACTAAGGAAATCAGGGATGGCTTCATGGAAGAAGTATTTAAGTTGGGCCTAGAAGGATCTAAACAGGCAGAAATCGGGGAGGGGACTACAGACCTAAAGAACAATGTGGACAAAGGCTCAAAGGTAGGAAAGCCAGTCAATCAACACCATTAAGTGTCTACTATGTGCCAGGTACTGTGCTAAGTGCTGGATATGTACAGGGGACATAGTCCAGTTTATCCGATATATAAAAGATATAGAGGGGAATAGTAGCATTAGGTAAGAATGTAAAGGTAGATGGTTCTGGATTGTGGAGAACAATCTACGCATCACCAACTTATTAATTCTAGTAAGAAGGTAGACTACCAGGCCTTACCACATGCTGGCCTCTGTGCCCTTCAGAGGCATAGGTGGCTCAGTAGATAGAATGCCAGGCCTGGAGTCAGGAGGTCAAAGCTGGCCTCAGATACTTAATAGCTGTGTGACCCTGGGCAAGTCACTTATAGCCCCATTTATCTACGTTTCCTCATCTGTAAAATGAGCTGGAGAAGGAAATGGCAAACTACTCCAGTATCTTTGCCAAGGAAACCCTAAATGGGGTCATGGAAAGTTAGATATGACTGAACAACAAGCCCTAAATATCCCTGGTACTGTTACCTGGCCTACAGATATAACCTAAAGACATTTGGGCATTAGCATCCACCCTGCAGCTGAAATGTATTTTATGCTGCATCTCCCAAAAAGAGAGGGAGCTCCTACAAAGCAGGGACTTTCTCATTTTTTTCTATTTGCATCCTCACATAGTGGGCACTTATTAAATGCTTTTTCATTCATTCATCATTCATTCATCCAAATAAGATGGCTTGTAATTTACAAACATATCAACTTACTTCAGGTCCCACAATAACCATGTAAACATTGGGCTCTTCTCGGTGCCATTCTTAAAAGAAAAGGAAAAGAAACTTTAAAAAATTAGTTCTCAGGGGAAATATGCTAAATATGAGAGTACATGTATAACCTATATCAGATTGCTTGCCATCTTGGGGAGGTGGGAGGGCAGGGAAGGAGGGAGAAAAAAAATTGTAACTCAAAATTTTCTAAAAGTGAATGTTGAAAAAAAAATTTAAAAATTGGTTCTCAGTCATAGAGACGTGTAATTGTACACGCGTTAGCACAATTTAGTTTAAAAGTAAAAGAGCAGAGTTTATGCACAATATGCTCCCCTTATTAACACCATTCTTCAATTAAATTCCAGATTGAACAATTGTTACATATCTACATTTTTTGCATCTCCTATGAGAAGAGGAGGTATTATTTCTAATTGATTCTTGTAGAAGTCCTTAATGCTTTTAATGAAATAATTTGCAATCACTTATGATTTCTATAATTATTAAAGCTGCAGATTAATAAGGAAGCTAAACACAATGCTGCATGTTAGCAACTCCATTTAGATCTCCAGAGATATTAGTTTTGTCTCAAGGAATCCCTGTGATTTTCTTTTTTTTTTAATTCTCTTGCATCTGTTTTGTCAGTAACCCTCGAAATAAAAGCACTGCTATCCTTCATAAAGGAGCAAATACTCCAGATTTTGAAACTTACACAATTAAATAATGTGGCAATTTGTCTTACAGAATTGAAAACTGTAAATTCAAGTGATTTTCAGGAAGTGATATGTCAGGTATTCGATGACAGAACGTTAGCTGGCAGGTAATTCTACAAGGGTTTCTCAATATTCAAAGGAAAGTGGTGAGCTCATTTCTGGGAGCTATCAGGAATCCCCTGCCTGGGGGATTCTCACAGTCTAGAGAAGGACTGTAAGGCAGACCCAAAATAGGTCTTAGTGAGGAACGTAATGCAAGGTACTACTACCATACAGAACACCAACAGTCCTACAAAATACTCAACAATCCTAAAGACTGACTGGCTTCCTCACTTTTTCCCACAGCGTTCTAGACCATTCACTTTATTATGTGGGCACCCAGCTCCGATTTCATATTGAAACAATGGGAAAATGAGCGTCATGATAACATTTTTTACCTGTTTATACATACTGATTGTGTAAGGCGAAGGATACCTTTTTCACAGTTGCTCACGCGATAGCCCTGGCATGATCAAATATTTAACACCCAGTAGACTTTAACTATAGAGGAAATCCTTCAGACTCAAAGATTCAAGATTTGGGCACAGCTGTCCAGTCTGGAGGGTGAGCGTCAGTCTTACTTCCGTCTTCTATTTCTAGAACCCAAAGCATGCTCATTTTCTCAGGCCACTCACTAGAACAGCAGGGTCTAACCAATAGGGGCATCATGCAATCTGCCGCTTCTCCACACTTACCTTCCATTCCTCCTGCCCTACCATTTCCCCTTGGGAGAAAGCATCATTTTTCTATTGTATTGAATGATTAATTGTTGAATTAGGACCAAGGTTTTGCCCCTTTTCTACTTCCTCATCCAGAAATCAACCACAGTGGGAAATTTTGCTCAAAAACTTACCCAGCAAGGAAAGCTAAGATCTAATCAAAGACAGTAATTTCAAATTTAAATTAAAAAGTAAATTTAACTTAAAAAGAAATTTTAAGTTTCAGCAAATGGGTAGATTCCTGCTCACTGTGTTTGCTCAATCAAGCCTAGGAAAATGTGGCTTCTGTCTTTTGTTAGACAGGTGACATAGAAATTGTTAAGTGTCTCTGGCCAAGATTTGAGTGCTCAGTGTCCCATACCTCAAGACTCTCACTGGAATATAGCCCAGACCTTCATTGTAATATTCATTCTCTCTCATTACTTGTTAACCAATCAGGGTTGATTGCCAACCTCTGGAACACCCACTTTTCCAAGGGCAGATAGCCCTGAGCCTGCCACCATGATTGTCTTTGGCATTTGAGAGTGCCACTGACCTCTTTTATTAACATGTTAGCATTATTAATAAGATGATTAAAAATTACCAAGAAACGATGTCTCTCAGACTTTTTAAAAAGGGGGTAACTGCGTGCAGTTCTGCTTACAGTCCTTCTGACTGAACAAAAGGTCTCTTCCTTCCCTGGCTATCACTTATTATTGGGTTGTACCCACCAAGTGGAATGTCAATTTCTTGAGGGCAGGGACTCCTCATTTTTTAAGCTATATCCCTCATGCCCAGCACAGTGCTAGGCACTTAGATAATTAGTGATACCTAATAGATACTTGGTGAATGATGGCTTGGCTGAATGATTGTGACTTTGGATATTTACTGTGTATCTTGACAAGGATTTAACTCAGCCCCCAGCTCTCTTGATCAGTAGTTTTCCTGCTGCCTAAAGGTGACTCAAGGGGCAAACCCAAGGTACATTTTCTAGTTAAATGATTAGCAGTATTAAAGACAAATTAGCCCCTGATTGAGGCAATTTCTCTGATATAATTTTAATAACTGAAAGAGCTGGAAAATAAGGAGAGAGCTAAAGAGAAAGTGGGCACCATAGAAAGTATTAAACCCACTGTAAGCACTGGGTTAGAACCAAATATTTGAGAATTTGTCTGACCCCAAAGAATTTCTAGAACTCAATCTCTGTTCCCATCCAAAATGAATGGTGAGATTGTCTTATGCTTTTAAACACAAAAATATTTAGTTACCCCATAGATCTTTTGCAATACTCATGTAAAACCCAAATTTTACTGAAAAAAAAAGTAATTCAAATTATTCCTTTAAAACACAATAACAATGGGAAATTTAGTTGAAAATTATTGGTATTCTTGTCATTCAGTAATGAATATTTTAAGATCACTAAACTACTAAGTCCATAAGAGATTACTGTCAACATCAAATATTTGTAAGTCAAGGCATTTTTGGTCATATGTAAAGATATCTTTGTTATTTGTTTGTTGATTTTACTATTTTCTTCATAAGTGAAATTCACAGAAAAAACTTTAAGGAAGATCTGAAAAGATCCAAGGAATTTCCCCAATCACACATTCCTTCTTCCCCTTGAAATACTAGTCATCATTATTTTAGGTAAAACTCTATTCCTGCACATGCAATGAGGTTAAAAAGACCCCCCCTCCCCCCACCCCTGGCTGGTTCATACCTTGTGGAGTGTTGGGCCTGTGCCAAGGTCACTTCCGGGGTCACTTTAACCTGGTATTCAGGTCAAAGCTGCATCAGAGAGGCCTGGCCACTGAACCAATTACCAGGGAAAGTGTCACCCCAAAGAGTCATCTTTCAGAGCAGACTGTTTCCCCAGAAGAAGCCAGGGCTGTCAACACTCCAAGAAGCTTGCATTAGCCAGAGCAGACCAGGGAACCCTGCTGTTTATTCCCTTTACAAAGAGAAGGGTGAGTGCATTCCCCTGAGTATAAAAAGCAGGTAGTATATTGGAAACACCAAGAGATTTATCCAACTAGACTTCTATAAACAAAAGAACAGGAGGAATTTACCTGTAAGAAACCTACCTGAGAAAGCGTCTACCAAATAAAGAGGATCTTTGACTCGTCTAAGCCCGCATATCAAAATAAAGATGTGTAAATTATCTGCACTTCGGTTGATCTCTGAAACAGAATATTTGGATCATTTTTATCACTGTGAAAAGATAGCAACTTCTTCCCCCTGTAAAATAACTTTAAAACCAAGGAATATATGCACAAAGTTATAGTGAGGAGGTGGCTTCAGAGTTTTCCTGGCCCTCACTAGTCTTTCATTGGTCTTTTGCTTCTAGGTTGGATTTTGCTGGGCCCTGTCCTTCTTTCAGTTTGCAAGCCTGGTCTGTCTGGTGCACAGGTTGGTTCCCTCCATGCTGGAGAAGATGGAGTTCAGAGGCAGGAGGAAGAGGAAGGGGAGAAATGACCTTAGTTATTTTTAAAATATTTTTACTTGCATATTTTATTTTTGCATCACCTAAATTTTCCCCATATCCTGTCGCTGTCACACCTCCATTATTTCTTAAAGATTACATTCTGAACAATCTTTAATTTGGCCTGCTTAAATAGGTATCATTTGTCTAAAAAAAAAAAGTCAGGAGATTTGTGCAACAGAAAGGCAGCTTCCAGTTTATGAACAGGGCATAAAGGACGTGCTCTGAGTTCACTGTTAAGTCAATTATTCAGAACCTCAATTGCATTTTCTCATAGGACAGGAACTTAACCTGTAATTTCACTGAGAGAAGGAATTCACAGGTGAGTAAACTCCACCAATACAGGTCTGCACCTTCTCACCTTAGAGAATTGCCCAATAGATTAAAAGATTAAGTGACTTACCCAGGATCACAAAGTTAGTACATAGCAGGGGTTTCCCTTACTTCAACACCAACTCTTTATCCACTATACCATGCTGTCCCTTTCTCATAGAGATGTGCTTAAAAATAATGGTCAAAATCTCAAGGAGGCTCTTAGAAACCTCCACAACCCATAAAGTACCTACCTAACCAAAGGGAATTTCTGTAAGGAAATGTGTTCCAATTTAAGATGCAAGGATGCTATATCCTTTTGTTATGAATACAAGAACTGCCCCCCGCCACCCTGCCCTCTTTCCTATATGCCCCCTTTCCTAGATGCTGTCCCACTTACAGCACTAGAAATAGTTACTTCTCTACTGTATTCTGGAAAGCCTGGGGTGCAGGAGTTTGAAAGCTGATATGGGAGCTTCAGGGTAAGGAGCAGGGTGGGAATTATGATGAGCAAAGAGCTAACCCGAGTGGATGAGAAGGGTTAGCTAAAACAGGTTCTGAATCTGCAGGTTCCGCTTCACTCCATTGGGCATAGTCTATATCCCTTCTAGAGGACACAGAAGTTAGTCAATTGCATTACCCAAGCCAGCCCAAGCCCCACTCCTTCTCACCCACAGGTTTCTACACATAACAAAGGCATCAGAGGGCATTTCAACATAACTTTCTTCCTTCCTCCTTTTCCTTTTCCTAATTTACCCAAGAGACATTCTTCCCATACACAGACTACCCTTGGCCACTGGACCAAACCGGTACTAAGGCTAAGAAAAATGCAAAGAAATGAAATAGAGGAAATGGATAAGCAACCGAGAGAGCAAGACTAGAATCTTTTTTTGAGAAGGGGAAGTAAGAAGAGATGTCATTCTCCCCTTCTAGCTAGCTCACTTATTTACCTGTGTGATCTCAATCACTCAGCCTCTCTGGCTCCCAGCTTCCTCACCCCTAAAAGAAGACCCCAGACCAAATGACCTTTGAGGTCTTTTTCAGATTTAAATCTATGATTCTATGATCCTGTAATTCTGGTATCAAAAAAGTACTTCCTGTTCACCTATACAAGTACACAATCACATAAAAAGACAAAGATGTACTGAATGCTTGGATGAAAGATTCCATTTCAGACTGACATTATTGGCATTTTTAATATAAACTAAATTAAAACTTCAGATTTTTTAATTGGGATAGCACAATCCTCCATAATTGACCTTCAAAATATGTACAAAAAAAGATAATTATAATGACCATTTTTTTGGCCCTGAAACCAGGACAATCTCCTATCGTTTCTCTCTCGGCAAAACTTAATTTTCCCTGTGCTCATGATCCACAAAATAAATGTTCTCTTTGCTTTTCAGTCTTCAGAGTGAATACATCTGCTTTGGAATTTAATCAAGGCTATTGAAACTGTTCTGACACAAGCACAAAAGCTAAAAAAAAATTAATTCATAACCAGCTTTGCTGCTATTTTTTATTCAAATGTGAAGCTGAGATGAATTTTTTACAAAAGTCACCTTTTGGGGAGGAAAAAAATAAAGCCTAAACAGTTCTCACAGTACACAGTTGCTCTATTAAGTACTGATGCTTCAATTGGGACCCTGAATTCTGTCTCTATAGGACTGTACTGTATAAATTTTCCCCTTACTCTGAACTCCTTGGATATTGACATAAAAATGGAAGCTTGGTGATAATTTTTAGTCAGTTTAACAAAATTAATCATGTATCAATTGGATTTGGGGACACAAAAAGCAATCACCTCTCTTTAACAAATAATAAGGGCAGAAGACAATCTCAGAAATACAAAAGGCAGGGAAGGGTCTAAGCATGTGTGGTCAATTTGGGGCAGTGCAGAACTATCAGTGTTTATACATGGAAAATTTTTGACAGTGGTGGCAGAACAAATAAATATTTCATATTATACATTATATATTAATATATTAAAATTAATATACTTACCCATGTTACTAAGTATGAGAAAAAATAAAAACCTAACATTTCTGTTTTCTCATTCTACTCCCCCTACATCTTTATGAAAAAAAATGAAGCAAACATACGTTAAGGTCCAAAAAAATCTCTTATCCCTAATAGAGGAAATATGAGAAGGTTCTACAGCACATGTATACCTTAAACTTAGACCTGAGGATAGGGAGAGAAATCTCCCTTTCCTGATGGCAAGGAAGGCTTAGCTGCTTGGCCCTATTACGTCCAAAAACCCCAAGCCTGCACCCTTGGGCACGTCTGGCTAGCTGAGTGAGTTTTTGACATGTCCTAGACTTCAACCCCATCAAACCAATTGTAAAGGTACTTGAACTACTTCCCTCTCCCAATAGATTAGATAAGAGTTATTATATGGGCCACAGCCTATCCCACATTTTACAGGTCTTCCTGTCCAGGTAGTTGGTGTCTTCTTTATTGGAAGAGAAAATTAAAAGGATAATGAAACTGGACATCTGAATAGGAATTGAAATTAGAAGAAAGCGTACCTGCCATCTTTTTTTTTTACTTAAAAGAATGGAAATACAAATAGTAGTAGTGACTTTTTTTTGTATTAAACTTAACAAATGCAGAAACATTACTTTTGATTCAAGTTGAGTAGCCTCGTGATACATAAGCTGCATTTTCAGGAAAATCAAGATAGTGGTTGGAAAATGCTGATCAAGCCGCCAAAGCATTTAAGCTTCCTTGATTTTGGCATCAATCCATACAATCCTTGGTTTGCATTATAGCTTAGAGTCCCTAAGATCCAATCCAGCTCTAAGAAAACTCATTCATGTTATTTCTTTTTATTTAGAAAGTAACTAAAACAGACTGTACCGAGAGGCTGAATAACTTATTTGATTCTATTTCTTCAATTTATTTCAAACTACAACAAGATATATTTTTCCTGAATGTATTTTTTTCATGTCTCCAAGTTCCAATTCATCACTTCCACATGTATAAGTTTCTTTCACAGATTACCATTTGCTGTAGAATAATATTTTTCTCTTCAAGAGAGTCCATTGATCCTAGAGGGTTTTATCAGCCTCTAAAGTTACGTTGGTCGGTCTCAACAAAGAGTCTGGCAGCTGAAAACATTCTCTTATACTCTGGGTGAGGGGGATGCTAGATCATTTCATTCCTGAATAATCATCAAACATGTCATCATACCAAGTATTTTTTTTTAAAGCAAAAGATACTCAACCATATGTTGTTTTCAATACACCACACTGCCTCTTGGAACTGGACTTAGAATAAAAAAGACCAGGGCCTTAGTCCTGGCTCCACTAGCATTGGTGGCATAAATATAGACAAGTCATTTGACCTATCTAAGTAGAGTTTCCTTACCTTCAAAATGTGAGTGATATATTTATTTGTTCTTTGAGCTTATGTATGCAGGAAAACAATTGGTAACCATAAAGTATTAGATACATGAGTATTTATATCATTATTATTGACTCTCTACAAACCTCTTGGAACCTCAGAGTTTTCCCTGCATAGTGCCAAGTTTCCACTTTGGTCACTATACGAGTGTCTAATGATGCAATATTTATCAGTTATGTGATCCAATTAAATGCTGCAATGCTTTCTAACCATTTCCTTTTCGCTGTCTCTCTTCTATGCAGATTTTATCTTTCAGATTCTTGAAAAAAAAAGGTATTATCAACACATTAAAGTCACCGGCCAAGAGGATATTAGAGTCTAAAATTAATCTCTGAATTACAAAAAAATATCAAGGTAAAACTCACAGGTCTACTGTTTTCCAGGCCCATAGAAACTGGCCCCAAAGCAAGTCACCTGTTAGATGGGGAATGACTTAGAAGTCAATTTCATAAACAGAAATTTACTGGAGCCGACTTTTCCCCTGGAAGCTATCCCCAGCGCTTTCTCTGGGTTTTTGATTCTGTAGATAAGTTGACATACTGTTACAAGGACACAAGAAACTTCATGCACTCCAGGCAAAACATGTCATTTTTACTGAGTTTGAAATGGAGAACACATGGATTTGAGAATCTATCCTGAGTAGTGTCACCTTGGGAAACTGTAACAAGGCCATGTAATTGCCACTTACCACTTAAAAATGACCTGGGTTTTTAATAGAAAAATAATACTGTGGTCCAGTGGAAAGTGCCCTGGATTGGGAGTAGACCAACCTGAATTTGATTCTTGTCTCTGCCACTTACTTTCTGGGTAACTTGTGTGGCTAGGTAGTAGTGCCACAGTGCATAGAGCTCCAGACCTGGAGTCAGGAAGACCTACCTGAATTCAAATCTGGCCTCAGACACTTACTAGCTGGGTGACCCTGGGCAAGTCACTTAGCCCTGTTTGCCTCAGTTTCCTCATCTGTAAAATGAGCTGGAGAAGGAAATGGCAAACCAGTCCAGTATCTTTGCCAAGAAAACCCCAAAAAGAGTCACATAGAGTCAGACACAACTGAAAAAACAAATGAACAACAAAAACAACAAAAACTTATGTAAGTCGCTTATTCCCTTTCTAGGTCCCAGTTTAATCAGTGTATTCAAAGACCTCCAAGTTCCATATCTTTCCAGCTCTAAATCCATGATCCCATAAAAAATCAATTTTGAAAAAATATCAAGCACCTAAGGAAGTTACAACAACAAGAGTTAGACAAACTTGAGCTCCCAAAGTGAAAAACATGAAGAAAGACGAGAAGAGTAGTCTATTCTATTACAATACATTATAGCTCTTGGTGCTTTAAATCGGTCCACTTGTCAAGGAGCCATCATAAATTCATTTGCATCAGGTGTATTTGAAATAACCTCCCCCCCACAACCAACCAAACCAAAAAAGTCTATTAGGAAAATATAGAGCTGTTACACTATGCAGGATTTATAGGCATTCCAAAGGGAAATGTTCTAGGGAACATGTAATTACTTTAATGATTATAAATAGATCTTCTGATGAGCACAGCTAGTAAAAGTACCCCATGAGAATTCGTACTAAGGGCACCTGACCTGCATTATTGGTTCTTAATTAATGGTAGTTACTGTGTTCTGCACTGATAGGTAGGATCCATTTAGCCTAGACAAAATTATTTAATCCTTAAACAAATATTGAGTCTTATATTTGTTATCAATGGCAGGATGTGCATGTATATGTATGTATACATTTTATATATTTATAGGCCAATAATCTTTAAAATTATTTTCCTAAGGAAGGAAATAGGAAAACATAAGACAATTTAAAAGCTGGGAATATCATAAAATTGGAGAGAGATGTTTAAAGAACATACAATAAAAACCATGACTCATGGCCAAACACCCACTCTTATTATACTAGGCATCATTCTGCTAGGTATTTCCCTTCTCCTTCTGCCTTGACTTCTCAATTGTTAATATTTCCAAAGAATTCTGAGTGGGGGTACCTGCTCTAGAAATAGCCAACTTTGGGGGCAGCTAGGTGGTACAGTGGATAGAGCACCAGCCCTAGAGTCAGAAGGACCTGAGTTCAAATCCAGACTCAGACCCATGACACTTAACTAGCTGTGTGACCCTGGGCAAGTCACTTAACTCCATTGTCTAGCAAAAAAACCCCAAAAAAATAGCCAACTTTCTAGTAAGAGGAATTGCTAATTTTGGACTTTCAACTACATCTACCATTTATGCTGTCTGAAGTATCAACTGGAAGTGACATTCCCAAAGCACACGCTACAACTGGAAAGCTTATCAACATTCTGTGGCTCAGGAATGATGGAGAACATGGAGGAGACACCCAGGTCTTCTCCAGAGTCTGAACTACATCAATGACTGATAGGAAAGACTAGAGGAAGTCATGTGGTTGTAAAAACTACTAGCCAGAATAGTTTACAGCTGTTTCCAAACTATGACCAGGCAGGCTCAGATATGATGGTAATTCAGATAAGTTCCTCTTGTCTAAATGTTCTAAATAAATCTGAAATTTCACTCTAACAGATGTTTAAGATCATGTTTTATCCAACACATCACAAAAGAAAATATTTTCTAAAGCGGCTTTTCAATATCTTGGCTATTTTTTAAATTAGTGAACAGTGATGCTCAGAGACAACCCACAGTAAGAATACAGGTTTTGATGATGGGTTATTCTATTTTGGGGAATAGCTAACTTAAGCGTGTTGTTACTGTGTTCTAAGAACACATCACAACTGATGGAGTCTGAATGCAGATTGAAGCGTACTATTTTCACTTTGTGTTTTTCATGGGTTTTTTTCCCCTTTTATTCTGTTTCTTCTTTCATAACATGACTAACGTGGAAATACATTTTACATGACTACACATGTATAATCTACATCAGATTGTTTGCAATCCTGGGGAGGAGGAAAAGAAAGAGGGAAGGAAAAAAATTTGAAACTCAAAATCTTATGAAAAATGAATGTGGAAAATTTTCTTTAAATATAATTGAAAAAAGTAAAAATATTATTTACATAAAAAAAAGAACACACCATACCGATAAATTTTAAATGGGCACATGAGGCTTGCGTGATGACACACATTTACTGACATGACCAAGAAGCTAAGTAACGTTGGCATTTTGTAATGCTGAGAGCAGAAGCTACTGTAATTCATGTAATTGACAAATGTACTACTAAAATGATTTCTAATTAGAGGATCATAGAATCATAGATTTAGAATTGGAAGTGACCATAGGTTAATCTAGCCCAACCTTTTCATCTTATAAATGAGAAAACAGAAGTCCAGAGTCAAGAGGTAACAGGGGCTGGAATCTGAAACCAGCACTGTCCAAAAATGGTGGAGGATTTTTCTTATTGATGAAACATTATATTCACATGTAGCATGTGATGTAGGTTTCCAATGTTGATGTGTGAAGACTATTCAATTGCAAAATGAGTGCATTTAAAGTGGTTGCAGACCCAGAAACAGAATTTACAGTTTAACTTTCATCCTCATTAGACATCACCTTTTGCCCAGCTGGTATGAGTCCTGATTTGCAATCTCTAGAGAGGAAAATCGGGGGAAGGTTGGGGGTAAGGGTAGGGGGATGGAGATGGTGTTAGCACATAGGTAGAGTTTTATAACTTGAATCACATGTTCAAAGTCAAGTTTAAGGGGCAGCTAGGTGATGCAGTGAATGGAGCACTGGCCCTGGAAACAGGAGAACCTGAGTTCAAATCCAACCTCAGACACTTACTGGCTATGTGACCCTGGGCAAGTTACTTAACCCCAATTATCTCCAAAAAAAAAAAAAGATACAATCAAAGTCAAGTTTAACTCCTTGGCTGTTAACAACATTGCTAATTTCACAACTCTAGGACAACTGTGAGGCACACATAATCCAAATAAAATGTAACTGAGAATTATTGGCTATTTAAAAAAAAAGAACATACTTATTTATACAGATCTTTTTTTGAAGAATAATTTAAACACCTTGACTCTATTTGCTTGTATCTCATTGTTTAGGTTCAGTTAGCACACAGGAGAAAAGAGTCTGCCTCTAAAAAAGATGAAAGGGGAAAAGAGAGCTGAAGGAAATTCTCCAAGCGATTCCTCAGCCCCCAGGTTAGAAAGAACCACAGTTGCTCTCCTGCTCCCCTCCTGTTTTGGGCCCCATCACTGAAGCAACTAGTGAAATTTCAGGGATCAAGAAAGACTAGGATTGTTTCCTTTCTGGCTCTAATCCAGGCCCCCATGGATGGAGAGGGGACTATATCCCTTAAGCACTGAGGCACTAATTCCTCTCCTACCTGTAAGAACCAGGTTTCCTTATCTCAAACGCTGTTTAATGTAAGCTTACAGGGTAGGGACACAGATTTACTCATAGGGATTTTGAGAAAAACCCTACAAAAAGAGTTAATACATTACCTGTATTTTGTAGAAATGTGTTCCAGTTAAAGGTAACATTTGGCATCGTTGAAATTCCTAAGTCCAAGGGGAAAAAAAAATAAAAAGACATTTCACTTGAACCAGGTTACCAATATATAATTAAAGTTATCTTGTTATGAATTTGAAATAACGACATTCATTCTTATATGTCAGCTAGGCTGCCTAAACACTTTGCTGAATTCTCATTAATCCTTGCAACCTTGAGAAGCTAGTGAGCTCCCTGGATTCCAGGTACTAATTTCTACTTCCTGGGCCCTACTGTGCCAAGTTTCTAACATATGGGGATCCATGGGAAAAATGAACTGCCCAGTGACAAGGGAAAGAGGGAGAGTCTGAGTCACAGCAATCTAGGATCTTAAAAATGGAAGAACCTCTAAAAGTCATCATGCCCAATCTCATCAGCTGACAAGCAAGCAAATGAGGGTCAGAGGAAAGGAAATGACTTGCCCAAGATCACACAGCTAATTAGCAGTAGAGCCACTACTAAAAATCAGATACTCCTCTCTCACAGTCCAGGGCTTTTTTCTATCATGCCCATGATTCTTTTCATGTGTTTTTCTAATATGAGATTTAGACCCTAAGCTTTCATCTGGTCTTCTTTTGTTACAAAGGATGCATATGCATAAAATGGCTAGTAAGGTCAAAAGGCCCATTCCAGGTCCATTGAACTGGATAAACTTAAGTAACCCTTGAAACCATGACTTTGGAATGACCTTCTTTCAAATAGATCTATTACTTATTTAATGAAGTCTATTTGTTATTTTTAATTTTTTTCAATTATTATGTATTTATATTCTTTTCTCCAGTGAAAAAAAAGAAAAAGGAGCTCCCTATAAAAAAATTACCATAGTCAAGCAAAAATTTTCATTAAAAAATGTTTTTCCATCTCCACGTTGAGAATCTCACCTCTCAGTCAGAAAGGGGGCAGAATTCTTCTCCCCTGGTCATCTACAATCCTGGTTGATCATTGTATTGATCAGAGTTCTTAAGTCTTTCAGAATTGTTCATTTCTCCAGTGTTAGGCATTTTATAGTATAAATCATTCTCTTGATTCTAAGCTATTTATTGTTAATAGAGGTTCTAAATTAATATATTTTCAGGTAACCCCAACATTGGGTTCTCCATCAAAAATACAACTGGTAAACATGAGAAAAATGATGAAGATGCATCTAATTTACTAAGTTTAAAACTATGATGCCATAGGGAATGATAAGCTTCTTAATACCAGTGAAATTTGACTATGGAAGGAAAAAGGGACAAAGAGGAAACAGGTCTTGACCATCAAGAGACTCTGAGTCACTAGAGGAAATACCCCTTGAATGCTGGGTCAATTCAATCCTAAAACTATATTCAACAAAAAACTTCAAGAGCAGATACAAATAAGCAAATAAATGAACAAATGAATAGATAAATAGTAAATAAATGAATAGGTAGACAAATGAATACATGAATGAATGAAGATAAATAAAGGAACAAATAAATAAATGAATAAATAAATAAAGCTCACTACAACCTAGGCTAAAAGCAAAGAAAAAAATACCTTTTTTATATTTAAAAATCCTTACCTTGGCTTTGGACGTGGATTTTACCCTTGGCATGTGGCTTACAAAAAGAGGAAAAAGAAAAGATAAATTTGATGTCCCACAATGATATTTCAGAAATATAATAATGTAACTATTAATAGTCTACTCAGGAAGCAGTTATCCAAAATCATCTATGTAACTACTCAGACTTTTGACATTTGCTAAAGCAAAAAGCTATCCTTGTATTTTAATGAGTTTTGCCCATTAAAACAACACACAGACACAGAGAGAGAGAACAAAAATCTTTGTTAGGCCAAAAGCAGAGTGAAAGGAATGACCTAAAATTAGATTCAATGCATGTTATAACAGACACCAACCAAGCTGATGATTTTGCACTTACCAGACTAGCGCAAAAGTTAAATGAGCTTGAACAGAGCATGCCAGCAACAAAGAACATCTATTTAACTTGATGATTCAGGTGAAGAGAAAAGTTTTCAGACAGTTTGGTTTGGGCTTCTTGCTTCATTGGCTAGGCGTGGGGTTTCCCTTTAGAATTTAGTGTTCCAAAAGGGAAAAAAAACACAAAAAACAAAAACCCAGACTTTTCAATATGGTAAAAATTTAAAAAAGACCAAATTACCTCCTACCATGACTGACTATGAGCCAAAAGTACATATCTCCTATTTCTTTTGAGTTAAACAGGTGGGATTCTTCAATTAGCTACCAGAGAGAGCAAAATAGAAAATCTATTTTTCAGATTGATTAATTGGCCTATTGCAAAATAATAGCATAAATTCCTACATAAAATCAAGAACCAACACCGCATTTAACAAATAAGGATATGGAGAAGTTACATTTTCAACTGCCAAAGATTCTGGGTTGGTTGTACGTCTGTGACATCAAAACAGTAAATTCAGTGAAAAAGCCAACCTGGATGTTTGAGTCCTTGGTGTCACATTAACTAAATATCCAGGTGATGACTGATGGACCCAAATTACACAGACATCTTGGCATTACATAAATCTCAATGGCCCTGCCTTTGGTGTATACAGTGCTATCTCCAGAAAAAGGTCTGCGCTCCATGAAATCTCTAGTTTGTACTTAAAAGCAAATTCCAACCAGTGGTTATGCTCTGCCTCTCCCAAACTGCCCAAATAAGAACTAAATTTTAATTGATATTATGAGCAAACTGGAAGAGAAATCATAATGAGGTCACCTGCGTAGCGGAGATGAGACAGTCAACCCTTTGGCCTCTTGACTTTGGGGCACTGCAGACTGTGGGGTTGGGGTGAGGGGATGTGGAATGGCAGTATGTTCTTAAGCCCATCCTCATTTTAGCATCCACTCATAAACTCATCTCTACTAGTTGCTTTCCTGGGTTACTACCCAGCTGGCAGAAATGTGGGAGGGCACAGAATAACTGCCCACAGATATTGTATACCAGAATGACTATGTATAGGAAAACATCCTGGAAGTCAACAGTTATAAAATCTCCCTTAAATGTCAGGTATGTTACCTAGAACACAGCAGGAGCTTTTAGCATTGAATGCTTCAAGAATCAACATGGTCCTAAAGATATATGTTAAGCTATAGTATAATCTTCCTGAAAAATAAAAGGCAAAACTGCTTGGGTGAAGGGAAATAACAAAATTCTGAACTGTAGTAGAAACTGAGGTTCTCATTCACATTGCTGAGCTTCAGCGCTAAAATAGACTTTGAAAAAAACTAAGAGGCTAAAAAGTTTCTTTATAAAGGAGGAAAAGACAGACCAGTGGGGTTAAGATTAGGGTCTCATCATTGTTTCTTATCCAGGTTGTTTGTGAACACTGTCATCATTAGCACACAAATTTAAAATGTTCCTCTTAGAAAATATCACATACTTTTCAACCCACAAGAAAAAAAAAATTCAGTACAGAAGTGGAATGAATCTTTTGAAAAGCCTTCGGTATTTGTACAGTGAACTCTTATAAATCACAGCAGTCTTTCACCAAAATCTATTTTACAACATGGAAAAACTGGGGTGGGGGAGAATCAAGTTTGATTTTGCAGTAACACATGGTTTTCAATTTTTTTTAAAAGATGTTTTAATATCAGCTAGAAAAAAATTTTTTGGGGGGCAATTGGAGTTAAGTGACTTGCCCAGGGTCACACAGCTAGTAAGTGTCAGGTGTTTGGTCTGAGGCCGGATTTGAACTCAGGTCCTCCTGATTTCAGGGCTGGTGCTCTATCCACTGTGCCACCTATCTGCCCCTAGAAAAATTTTTTTTTAAAAGTTAAGGGAAAAAAAGAAGGCTGTGGTTATTTTAATTTTTATAATGAAAGAAAAAATTTCTACAATCTAGTAAAAGCCAAAAGGCTGATATTGATTTTTAAAAGATTTTATGTATTAAAATAGCCTAGATATAGATTAACTTTCTTTGCTCATTTCTTATTATCTGCTTTCTTTGAAATCATATAGTTCTCTCTGTCCTGGTAAAAGATTCACCTAGCAGCTACATTCTCTAATTAATGCAGAAACCATAAAGATCATAAAGATGAGTCTGAATTTAAGTGATTTCTGAAAGTGATTAAAATAACCCTCATCTATACTTTATGAGTCAATAAGAAACTGTTGTTTAATTTGACCCACTAAAAAAGGTTAACAGCTTTTTTGGAAAAAACTTAAATTAACAGGTATATGTGTGAATGAACAGAAATGTAAAAAATCTTTTTGGGCATACCTATGTTACTTATATTTCATGATTTATCACATAAGCATTGGCATATGTACATATACTCATGTAAATGTATCTCCTCAAGGCAATTTCTTATAATACATTCTGCTACTGAATGATAGAAACAAACATTAGAAAAAGAATAACTTAAAAGTGCAGTGTACTTTGGCCTGAAGATATAAAAAGTTATTTATTTAAAGAGCCAAATAAATACTCTTTATCAAAGCCCTTATTTACCAAGTTTTTAAGAGATTACTCCTAATGTTTTTTTTTCAAAATCTGAAAGGGAATTTAAATGTGATCCTTGTATATAAGATCTTTATAATAACTTGTCAGTTTTTGGTTCATAAAAATGAAAGGAACCTACAAATGGAGACAATACATAATGTTCACATTTTTAAAGGATATATACAATTTTAGTAATTTCCCCAAAGGGCTTAAATAAAAGTGATTTTATTTTAAAATCACTAGAGAGCTTCTGATTAAGTTTTGACTTAAAGAGCCAAAAACCTGTAATAAATGGGGAAAGCAGGTTTGACAAATTACCGAATGTGTCTCCATCATAGAATTAAATAACTCACAGAAATGGATGTACATATCTTGAGAAGATCTCTCTCATCCCTCTCCCTAGGGCCAACCACACATCTCCTTCCCCTCCACCTGCCCACAAGCAAGTAAGAGGACAAATGAACATTCTCTCAAGCCTGTCCCCAAGGCCAGGAAACTAATCAAAGAAAAATGTTTCAAATAGGAAAAAGAGAGAGAGAAAGAGTAGTAAGGCAAGAAGTAAATTCAATAATGAGATTCAAATAATGATTTGCTCTGATCCACAATGAAACAGACAGGTGGGTGGTTGTAACACCAAAACAACATGGACTCCACCAGTAAGAAAGTAATATCATGTGGTGTATGCTGCATGTCCCTCTACAATGGTGGAAAGAAGATGAAGCTACGTACACAGTGTCAAAGGAAAATTCCAGGGAAGTTTGTGGCTTTTTAAAATCCAACTCGTAAGAGAAAGCAAGTATCCTAAGGAAGTCTCAGAAGCTATTTTTGCCTTTCCTCTGCCTTGACAGTTTGGGCCCAGCTGAAACATTTTCTGTTCCTTCCCAAGGTTGGAGGCCCAGATAAAATGAGGTGTTTTCAGGTAACACAACCTAGGAATTTGTTAATCGGTTTGGAACTTCAGATTCCAGTGGTCTCACAAGGAAAAAAAAAATACACTTGGGACATTTTCACAGTTCCTCCAACCAAAGCAGAGTACTTTATTAAATATTTATCAAGCCAGAAGCTGTCTAATATATGATCAATCCTTGAGGTTTCACTTAAAAAGAACTTAGAAGTGTTGCTGGAGTAAAACCTCCCATTCCTGAAGACAAAAAGGGGTGAAACTGATGTATATAAAAAGGACTTCGTACATAGTGGGCTGAGCATGTGTGCTTTTTACTATTGTCTGATATTTTGGGATAATCAGATGACAGACAAAAAAACATGCAGGGAAAGTATGTAAGAAGTCGTTAGGGCCAACATGCTGAGTTAAGCAGCTCACTTAGGCTAGCACCAGTTACTAGGCTGCCTTTCTGAGCTCACCTGTGGTATGAACTGCTCATGTAACAGCCAATGAAACCTGTCTCGCTTTCTGCATATCAATTTCCAAAAGAATTTCTGATGAGTTTATGTACAGATGGAAAATAAATTGCACATATATGTATTGCCTACAATAACTACTGTAGAAAAAAGCAATTTCTACTTAAGATGCAGAAAGAAAGATAAATGGCCAAAGAAGGCTGAAAATGAGGCTACTTTTAAAAATAAATAAATAAAAATCATTAAATGGTCTGGCCCCAAAGAACCTAACAGAATACTAACCATTGCAAAATGCATTCAGTAATCACTTCCTTTGTTTTGTAGGGCTCAGATGTTAGTTAGTTTTTAACAGAAGAAATTCTAAAAAATAACATTGATTCATTTTTTTCCCTCCTGTATTGGATTCCTATTTTATAAGTCTCAAAGGCTCTTTCCCCCAAAAAATAATTACTTCTAAATCCCTGGGGCCAATGATTTGTGCTTAAAGTTGAAAACACAAATCAGGCATGGAAAATCCAAATTGGGCAAGCACATGAGAAATGGGAGAAAAAACCCATAACAATTAATCACATGAGTTAGACACGTTTGCATCCTCTTCGTTCCATTGGACTGGACCACGTGAAACTTATCATAATCCTGTAGGCTTTGAAACAACCTGATGTCTATGCAGAAAGATCTAGGATCATAGATTGAGGCTGGAAGAAACTTTCCTTTGATGACCTGTATTTTGGCCAGGTTTCAGGTAGACCAATGGATTTTTCCTCCTGATAGGTGAAGCAGTTGTCAGAATTAGACACAGTACTATAAATGCAGAAATGTAAAGTACATTATTTATAATAAACAACAACACATCAACAGTAGCAATACAGCTACAATCTCAATTATGGTTTTATGAAGTGGTAATAGATCAAAATTTCATACTGTTAAAATGTTTCTTAAGTTATACATAGGATATTTATATATAAACATTTAATAAAAATTATGTGAAACATATAAGAATACATATAAAATGCTACAAACTAAAAATGATTGTGATACATAGTAGTTACCTCTGCCAAATATATTATATGTACTGAATTTATCCAAAAATAAAAGGCTATTATGTAACATCATGGGATTCATTGTTTACTATTAAATACAATCTTACATTGAAGTGTTGTCTACACAAATCTACAAGAGACGGTGAAAGGGGACCAGAAAAAAAGTGGCAAAAAGCAAGTTATCGTACTGGAATCCAATCAAATTTCATGGCTTTGTGATTCGTGCACACTCAGCCAAAAACAACAACATGCCAACAACCCACCAAACAGAATTGCCTAAGATGCCACCTTTTTCTCTGGAGGTAAATTGCAAGGAAAACCCTACTTAGGCATGTTTTTATTAGCATAAGTCATCTGCTATGTATTGAGGCAGAAACTCCTTTAGAAACTCCCTTCGCCTTGGTAGAGCTCTTGTATATATAATGACATAAATATCAATACAGGATGGAATTAAAACCTAGAGTGACTAAGGAGAATTGGTACTTGAGTTTTATACCAGCCCGAAGCATATTATAGATGACTGGATTTAAGTATAGTCTTACTTAAAGGTTATATAGATAGGTTAGCCTACTTTAGGAATAAAAAACCCCCACAAAGTTTGAACTAGTTTCTGTCAAAATTATGAATACACAAACATGTGGATATACATGTACATGCAATAACATATAAGGACACAGTACATGAGTGTGTCTACACATGTGTAGACTGGACCTATGATTTCATTGTCATAGGGAACTCCCAGGTAAGGAAACTCCCTTTGCCAATGCAATACCTTCTTTGCAACTTAGAGAGATGTCCAGGGCACTGAGATGTGAAGAGACTTGGCCACAGTCATACAGCCTATATATTTTAGGGGAGGAATTTGAAGTCAGGTCTTCCTGGATGCAAGGCCATTTCTCTATCCATGAAGCCATGCTTCCTCATGTGTGTGTGTGTGTGTGTGTGTGTGTGTGTGTAGTTCCATATAATATGCATACATGGATATAAGTGTATGTTTTAATTTTGTGTATATATAAATATAGTTATATATAAACCTATACATAAGCCAACTTTTAACCCATATTTAAGCCTATAGACAAAAACCCATCTAAGTTTATATATAAATCTCTAGAGAGACTGCCTGATGGCCTTACTACTCGAGATAAAACCTACTTACTCTCTAGAGAGAGAATCACATCTATATAAATACACACACACATTTCCTCCTTAGTGATCAGGAGAGTATCCAAAGAAAATTCATAAATTTCTTTTGTCTGGGGTTTACTGGAATTAGCTGATTTTTATTACGGTTTCATAATAATTAGAGGATTAGTTAATCCATTATGCAGTAAAGCAAATCCATTCAGTAATATAAGCATTACAAATTTAAATCTCTAGCTTACAATAGTGCAATTAAGAACTAAATTGTAATTACTCAAATACCATGTCACCATTAGAAATACAAAAAGAGAAGCAGGTTCTTTATAGAAATTATCATGTAAGTGGCTTATCCTAAAAAAAAAATGCACCTTGTATTTGGAGTTGGAGTTTATGGACTTTTTGTTGCTCCATTATTCAAAATCCAAAGCAGTCAAAAAGTAAGTCACCCTCATGGATTCAGCTATCACCTCATGTGAGTGCCTCCCAGGTCTCTGGCCTCTGTCTCCAGTTCTGGCCTTGCTCCTGAGTTCACCAAATGTCTACCTGAGATTTTTCCACCTGAGTGTCCTATCTGCACCACAAATTTAACACGTACAAAATGGAAATCTTAACTCCATTTGTCCCTCCCCACACTAAAAACTCCTTCCTTCCCTCCCCACAAAAAAAAAAAGAAAGAAAGAAAAGAAAAGAAAAACTCAGCTCCTCTTAGTAGGTTCTCTGTTTCTATTAGTGGTACCACTGCTTTCTAAATCACTCAGTTTCAAAACCTCATGATTGGTGCCTCTTTGGCCTTTCTCTCACCTTCCCATATGCAAAGGGTAACCAATTCTTTCTTTGAATTTGTGCCTTCCCAATCACCTCATCTCAATCAGCCTCTCATGCTGAGACAAGGGCTGTGCCTCCCAAATGGTCTTGATGCCAAAAGGCTCTCTCTCTCTCCTTCAATCGATTCTGAGCAATTCTGCAAAATTAATCCTCCTAAAACAGCATCTTAATCAAAAATAATTTATATATGTGCAAGGCATTACAGGAATGCAAAGATATGGACTACACCCGCAGTCTAGATGGGGAAGGCTCAGCTCTGGGGTACGTTTTTGTCCTTTGATTTCAAAACAATTCTCCAACTGCATTCTTGATCATGATTAGGAAAAAGTAGAAATTGAAAATGGATTTTATAAAAATGATGCACCTGCAACAACTACCAAGAACTTAACAAAAATATCGAGTAAAACTATCAAGTCTTTCTACTTGCTACCTAAGTGGGAGAATTTAGAGGAAGGTAATCAGGATGGTCAAGGCCTTGAGTTTATTTCCTATGCAAGTGGATGCAGGAACTGGCTTGTTTAGCCTGGAAAAAAAGATTCAGAATGGATAGGATAACATTCTTCAAATATTCAAAGGGCAGTGGAAGAGAGATTAGATTTGTTTCATCTGGTCCCAGAATGAAGAACCAGGAAGACACAGGTGGAAGTTACCAGTATGTAAATTAAGGTCTGACCATCACGAGAAACTTCCTAACAATTATAGCAGTCCCAAAGTGGACTGGACTGCCTTAGGAGTTAATGAAGGAGGAGGAGTTTCCCCTTCATGGAGGGGTTCTAGCAGAGATTGCACAGCGATTTGTCAGAAGTGGTAACAGTGGGAACTACTTTTAAAGTGTGTTTTGGACTAGATATATTCTGAGGGCCTCCCAACTCTGAAATCCTGAAAGGCAGAGTCCATAAGTGATTTAACTTACAATGCAACCACTTCCTAATCAGTCTAACTTTGGAAAAGGACACCTACTCCCCAAGAGTCTATTGCTATCAGTAGATATGAAGCCAATGATCTTCACTAGCAACTTATAATACAGGCCTAGAGCCAGTCAACCACGAAGGACACAAAGAAAAAAAAAAGTTAATGTTTGCCTTGAAGGGTTGGCTGTTATTTCTGCCATTGAAAAAAAATCCATGAAGGTTCAAAGTAGCTGCACAGAAGAAAAACATAGATCACTGAAAAACAAAATGCACTATACTGGTTGTTACAATCATAGTAGTGGGCAAAATTTCCATATCCAAATGAGATTCCCTTCCAACATATTTATTTTCACTTTGCCTGAAATTCCACTTGTACAACGATAATGACAAAAAATTAAAACATACCCATTTATTTAGTGCCATTTCCTTCATTGATTCTGTAAAAGCCACTGCAAATCTAAGAAAAGGGACAAAAATGGTAGTGACAATTACTACGAAAACCTTTCCACGTGACTATGAAATAGCTCTTTGGATCAAAATGTATGAGACAAAGTAAGAAGCTGACCAAAATGCTTAGTATTTACTTGAAAGTATAACTACATGGTCACCAAGAGTGAGGCTCAATTTTTTTCCCCATCAAACCCCTTCAAAAGAGTTTTACCAGAGAAAAACAAGAGTCATCCAAGGGTGTGAATACTTGTGATTTTTCTGCCTTTGTTGGAAAATTCTGATCTAGGACCTGGGCAAATGCCACAGAATCAGACTGAAGAGGAAAGGAGTAATGAAGGCTTATAATCAACCACTAAATATTCAAGAAAATATTGGACTCTGGTGATTTTTTTTAAACTAGTAGTAAGTTATAGGCCCTTATCACTTATGAACTGGACGACTGCATTGGCCTCCTGATTAAACTGCCTGCCTCTAGCTTCTCTCCTCTGCTTTCATAAAGCAATCAAATGACACTCCTAAAACAGAGGTCTGACCACATCACTCACCTGCTCAAAATTTTCAGGAGCTCCCTATTACCTTTAGTGTAGGATAACAGATTCTACTGAGCACTGAAGGCCCTTTACGGTCTGGTTCTAACTAATCTTTTCAGGTAAACTACACACTACTGCCTCTTGCATAATCTAAATACCAGCCAAAATTGCCTGCCTGATATTTCTTGTGTATAATATTCCATTCCCCCCCCCATGCCTCTGCATAGACTGTCCGTTGTGCCTACAACGGTCACCTCCTCACCACCTTCACTTCTACCTCCTGATCTTCAAGGCTTACCTTAAACCCTACTTCCTACAGAGGTTTTTCCTGATTTCATCATCTCCACTCCATTACAGAATCCCTAGTGCTCCTTCCCCTCACCAAAATTACCCTGTATCTATCTATCTATCTATCTGTCTATCTATCTATCTATCTAATATATAGTACCTATATATAATAAATTTATCTATCTTATACTAGTTGTTTCCTCCAGTAAGAACGTTAAGATCCTTGAGGGCATCGATAGTTTCATTTCTGAATGACAAATGAATTTTCTTTTCACATTTATGAAAATATTTATCCCCATGGTGCCTGGTGCACAATAGGTGCTCAATAAATGCTCACTAAACTGAATTATACTTTTTGAAGGCAGATTTTCCTCTAGGAAATAATTTTCCAATGAACTGAATTTATCAAAAAATAAAAGGCTACTATGTAACATCTGGGATTCATTATCTATCATTAAATACAGTCTTACATTGAGGTATTGTTTACTTCTTCTGAAATCAAGCTCCCTTTGATACATCCTTAAAGTAAGCCATTAGTATCACATTGAATCTATATGTCAATTGAAAAGGCATTTTTATAATATTGCCTCCACCTGGCCACTGGCAGAGGTTATATCTCTAATTGTTCATTTCTTTCTGACTGTCAAAATTGGTTTAAAGTTGTCTTTATAAGTGGTTTATGTGTTTTAATGATCAAATATCTGATTTCATTTAGTCACTGTTATGACTGATTGGGACAGCAAGGCAAAGAAGATGGAGTGCTCCAGAAGCCAGAACAACCTTAGTTCAAAACTTGCCTCTAAGTAAGTAAACAAGGGCAAATTCCCCCTCTGCCTCCCCAATTCCCTAAGGAGAAGAGTTATAGGTGGGTTTGGATATGCCCTGGTGGTGAGAGTGCCCATACCTGAAAAAATCACTGACCCTCAACATATAGATAGATCCCTTAATGACACTAACATCTTTGACTGGAAATAGAGCATTTACATTCTCTGCCTTTACGAATTTAACTAGGACTTAGCTATATTGTGACAAGACATATTGTGAAAGTCCCTGCATACTTGAACAAAAATGTGCATTCTCTCTTTTTTCCAGCTTGCTCTCTCACTCTCTGTTTCTCTCTGCCTTTATATGTGTATATATGTAGTTATTAGATCTGGGTTGTTCAATACTCTCAAGTCTATTACTTTTTTAATGAACCACATTCTGATCCTGAGGTGCTAAAATCTCACTAATTTTCCATATATTTGTTTTTTGCAAAATTACAAGTATTTCCTTTATAAATTCCACTATTAAGTTACTTGGTCCACGTGTATCCAAAACTGATATACATTCCTTTTCATTTGTGCTTTTCAGTGTGATTTCCTTGTTGATCTTTTACTACTTTCTGGTTTCATTTTGACTTTGCTATCTACCAAAGAATTCCATATTTTCTGGAGCTAGTTGTAAAATTTTAAACTTTACTTCCCTCTTTCAATATCATGCTTCCTAGAGCTTGCTGGATTCCATTCTTTTAAAACATTTTAAACTAAATATCTCTATAACACTATAGCATTTTCGATAATTCTCATCTCTAAAACTTGACCCTTTCCCAATTTAGGAGCTTTAACTAAGGGTATCTATCATTCAGTAATTTACCTAACAATAACATAACTATATACAAACACATTCACACACATATATGCATGTATGTGTATACATATATATACATGTACACATATGCACATACATGTATAGATATATATGTATACGTAATTGAGATTGATTATATATATTCTATATTATCATATATAAAACTATATACCATCTATGTATGACATATATATATATGCAAATTATATAACATCTAGGCAATCACAGTTGTAAAGTATTCATGTTCATGCTCTAAAGTATTTGACTCTTAGTGTTTCATAGCTAACTCAACTATATTTGTTTTCCCATGAATTCTTTGAGGTTTTCTTGGCTGTTAAAAGTCTAATTTTTATATTCAAAATAAATTCTTAGATTTGATGCAAAAGTAAGTCTAGGATCAAGATTCATGTTTTGAATTTTGTATAGTCACTGCCCAATTTCTTCTGTCATTTCTGGTTACTGAAGAAAAAAAAAAAAACAAAAAGCTTGGGCAAAAATAATTGATGTTTTTGATAAGTGACTTCCTGGGGCAGCTAGGTGGGGCAGTGGATAGATCACTGGTCCTGGGGTCAGGAAGACCTGAGTTCAAATCCAGCCTCAGACACATAACACTCACTAGCTGTGTGACCCTGGGCAAGTCACTTAACTCCATTGCCTCACAAAAAAAAAACACACAAAAAATAGATAAGTGACTTGCTTCTTGGAACTTGAAAGACTTTTTTTTGGGGGGGGAGGAGGGAAGAGTAGAGTCTGGATCTTAGCCCTGAGAGCTCACAATAATAAGCCTGAGTTAATATCCATCCCTGGGATTCTGTGAATTCTTTTTTACCTGTGGAATACTGCTGTCTTTTGATGGTTCTGGGGAATTGTCTTGTACAATTTCATGAAATGTATCCATTAACTTCTTTTCTCCTTCAGTAATTTCAGATACTTTAGTAATTCTGAGGGTTCTTCTTCTAATCTCTCTTCCAAATCTATAACTCTGATTATAATTGCTTCCTGATGTTTTCACCTGAATTCTTCTTATTTTTTTAATTTTCAATAGTATTGTCTGCCATTTTATCTTCTACTATATTAATTCTGCCCTTAGTGACATTCATTGATATTTACAAACTCTCTACACTATTTCCATTTTGGCATCTCAAAATTTCTGATTTGGGTTTTTGTTTTTTCCTTAAACATGCATGTTACCTCTTTGAACATAATATCATTTCTTGCATTATTTGTGACTCTAATTCTAGAATCATTCTAATAGTCCTAGCATCTTAGGGCAGGAAAGAATCCTTTGAGATTTTAAGTATATAAACACGTGCCCAGAGAAGTACAGTCATCCAAGATCAGAGAGGGAGTAGCAAAGCTGGATTCAAACCTATAACTTCTGACTCCTAATCCTTATTCTTTCTACTATACCACATAGTGCCAAAAAAAAAAAATAAAGAAGGATATGTCTTCATCCTGGTAGTTTCCCCCTTGCTTCTCTTACTTTATAATTTTTTATGTCAATTTTTTTTAGGAGGGGGCAAGGGAGGGAGAAGAAAGGGACTAGTTTGTGATATTTTTAGAGAGCTTTAATTTTTTTTTGAGAATTTAGAACAAATACGTTTCTTTGGGGCATTTCTGTTGTTATTTTTGCTGGGCTGTTGAGCAAATAGGTGCCCTTGCAATCTCTCTCTGCCTCTGATTCTCTTTCTCTGTCTCTCTCTCTCACTGTAATCTTCACATGTCTCTGCACTGCCCAGTTTTTGCCATTATGCTCACAACACTTCATCTAAACAAGCGAAAATCACTTGTTCTGAAGTTCACCAAATGCTACAAAAAGAGAAAATACACCTTATAGGAAAACAGCTACCATTTAAGGGAATTTGATTAAAAATAAAGCACTCATTATAAAGCTAGACACAGTTCAATATTTTGTTTTTATAGAATTTTGTGGAATATCGTGCTGGACAAGTAATCTATGATTCAGGCAATGTTCCTACACACCAGCCTGCAATCAATACAGAGGGAAAAAATCAATGTTTGTTTTAATAACTATGCAATGAATAATACTAGTGATAATACTACAGGAGGAACTCATTCAATACTGCTTCTAGGGAACAGAATGACTTTTTCTCTATGAGATCATACATTATGAATGATAGAAAGCTAATTATTTTCAAGTATAAGAGCAGAACTATGATAATAAAGTATCTTTCAATTTGTAAATTAATTATCCTAAAATGTCTCTGACGCCTACAGAGTTGCAAAACAACTTTGCAAAGATTTTTTAAATGCCCAATCTTAGCTAACTCCTTGAAAAATATTTCCAAGGAATTGGAAATTTAAAGCCAGTGGTACATTTAACAACACTAGTTTTAGGGGACAAGACTGACATCTACCATAACACAGGAAGGCAACAACGAATATTAGAAAGACCACTGGCTTGGGAGTCCCAAGTCCTAGATTTAAATTCTTGCTCTGTGACTTACTGTCTCTGTGACCCTGAGCAAGTCACTTAATCTCTGCGTATTTTTACCAGTAAAATTAGAAGACTGAACTAGATTTATAGGATTAAGGTCCCATCACCTCTAATCTGTGATCCTAAACTGTTTTTTATTCTTTTTGTACAAGGTACAATAGGAATTCGGATGCACTTCAAACTAAAAGTGAATGATTTGGAGATCAGGATGGTCCACATTTCCATCAGGCTATCAAGTCCCCATCTTGTCATAAGTCCTGATTAGTGACACACCTCTCACTCCTGTTTCTGTGTCTGCTGGAGAGGTGGACCAGTGACAGGTGGGGAAGAGGCCTAAGCCAAAGCCGGGAAATATTGCTGCCAGACTCTACCTAAAATGTTTTAGAGGACCTAGAGATCTAGATGCATGGGAATCAGAGAGATGATGTGGTTTGGTGTGGGGGAGTGGGGGTAGGGGAGAGGTGGTATAATGTGATGAATAAAATAACCAAAATATAGGAAAATAACTGTTTCCTACTGTTAACTCCCAGAGGGCAGGGCAGGAATCATATATTCTCCATGATCCAAAAAGTAGCATGAATAAATACATCCCATTTGAGTTCAATAAATAGTCATTGATGGTAAAGGTAACTTTTCTAGGTAAAGAAGTATCCCCAGAAATCAAACTGCTTATGGGCTATTTCTACAAAATGCCAAAACAAACAGTAGGGGAAAATTCTAATGAGTTATAAGGCATCTAGTCAATATGACTAAATACAATTGTTTGTATACCTGTTTTATTTTAATAAATTCATTCAAGCTGGCTTGTTTGTGTTGATACAGCCTAATTCAATTTAACAACTTATTAAGTTCCTATCATGTGCAAGATATTGGAATAACAATAGCGTACAATTCTATTGCTAGGTCTATAAAGTACTTTAGACACATTATCTTATTCAATCATTATAATAATGCTATTGGACATTTTATAGAGTTACTATGATTCCTATTTTTAAGATGAGGAAACAAGGAAAGAAAGGAGAACTGATTAAGCCAGTGTGATAGAACTAATTAAGTATCAGAGGGAGGATTTGAACCCAAGTATACCTGCACTCAGCCCAGCACTCTCTCCACTACACCAACTACCCCCACAACTGATTTTCTAAAAATTACCTGGCTTCTTCTAGAACAATCCCCATTATCTGCTTCTTTTCTTCATGGTCAATATCTTCATTTATATCTGTTCCTCCAAAGATGATTCCAAAAGGTATTCTTTGACCTGCAAAGTAATAGTAATTTTAAATAGTAAACCATTGCCAAAAAAAGAAAAGACATTTAAAAATGATGCTTCCCAAGTAGTATAGGAATTTCCCACTGTATCATCCAAAGCCACCTTTTCTTTAGTAGCTAAAAAAGGTACCACTCCCTATACATCTGAATCACAGAACTGGACAGCCAAGACTGACTGTAGCTCTTTTCCCTTGAAGACTATAAGTTGTTGTTCATCCTTCCTTCTCAAAGAGGACCAATGACATCATAATGGTGATGCCTTGACTTGCAAATGAACTGCATATGAGTAGGGCACAGTGGCGCAAAGTATCACTCTACTCTCTCCTCCACAGTCATCGAACTCCACTGGCAAGACACAGGTCAAGACAACTGGCCATGCAGTGTGAGACTTTGGCCTTTCTAAATCAAGGACTTTCCTAGGTCTCAGTTTGTCTGAGGCCACTCTCACTGAAAGACTGAAGGTTGGGTAAGAGTTGAGACAAAAGATGGTTTAATTTACCATCAAAAAAACATCAATCTGGGAAGGGAAGACCCTCAGAGTTTCTGGCCAGAACAGAAAACAATTGTTATTTACACTCATTCTAAGCTATCAAAATCTAAACAATGATGAAGGCCCTTTGATATCTACACAAACATTATCCCAATGTGACACTCCAGGGCCTTTTTAGTCAAAGTCCATTCAAAGTCTTGAAGTTGTAAGAAGCCTTCAGTCTATCCTAGCCTTTTCTTGTTTAATTTGTTGCATTTTTTTGTTTTGTTTTTAATTAGAAAGGTGCCTTCTCTGAATATGAGTATTTATTGTTGACCAGAAGGATCTGCTTCCAAGTCCCATCCAGTCTTTCCAAAGCTTCTCCAAAGATTCAACTAGGGAAAATACTTGTTATCCTAACAAGAACTTAAAAATGCAACTTGTCATAGAAACAAGGTTATAAATAGATGTTAGGTTCCCAGGCCAGCCCAAAGAAAACTATAACCCACAAGATGTATGAAGTAGACCATCCTTTCAATCATACCCAACCACCATGGAGATAATATCAGTGTGTGCTAACCAAATTTAAGTCAATCCAAACAACATTTATCATGTGTCTATTATGTGCAAGGCACTGACAACTTCTGGAGATAAGAGACAAAAAGCAAAGAAGCCCTGCCCCTCAAAGAATTCTCATTCTAATTGGAGGTGGGTGGTATAACATGTATTCAGATAAGGATTATTATACAAAGTACTTCATAAAGACATCATAAAGAAGGCAGGGTACCTAGAACTTGGAATGCATTTCCCCATCTATGCCATACTACACCTGTTGCATGACTATGGACACACCAACATCCACACACAATATGTGGGGGAAAATGCACCCTGAGTTCTAATAACCAACATACAAAGGAATTTTTGGAACATATTCAATGGCCAGGATGGGGCCTGCCTGTATTAAGACTGTGAGCATCATGGCTTAGTCTGCAAATATGAATGTCACAGTGAAAGCCCTTATTAATGCTCAAATCAAAAAATGTTAGACGCCAGACTCATAATAGCATAGTTTTAGTATACTGTGCATGTGTGTGTGTGTGTGTGTGTGTGTGTGTGTTAGACCAACAAAATGCATCATTCAGTCCAAAACTCTTTCACTGGTTACAAGAGCTTTGTGACAAGTCAAACCTAAATGTAAATGTTTTTCTTTGGGCATATAAATCTGAGGGCAGGAGGGCTATTTCCTGAGATTTTAAACTATCTCTTCAATTTGACTGTTAGTTAAAAAAAAATGGATCAAGGAGTCTCCTGGACAGTTCTGTCACTACTACAGTGTGGGATTTTCTGGGAAAAGAACTGACTTTCCATATAGAGAGCCTGGGTTCGAATCCTACCTTTGTTCCTTACTACCCATCTCCCTGAGCCTGAGGTAATTCACCTTTCGAGTGAGAGAACTGGACTGAATGCACTTTAAGAGCTTTTCCATCTAGCTCAAAATCTATGACCTTACAGTATAAATTTTAAAATAAGCAAGAGGAGTGAGAAATAATTTCTAAAGAAGTCCCCATGCTGTGGTTCCTGCCCAGCCAAATATATATGTGTGTGTGTGTATGTGTGTGTGCATGTGAACATACACTAGAGACCCAGGCTTCTATGTATGTGTGGGGTGGGGGAGGGGGAGAGCAGTTAAACATACATATATTGTCATAGCTGCCTTTAATCTATTCCAGGCTTCTTATATTTGTTTTATTTTTAAATGTTTATATTTGTCTCTGAGAATATACTTGTATATTTAGAAACTACAGATTGCCATATTTTGTTTTGTTGTTCCTCTTAGTTCAAGCTTCCATCACCTCTTGCCTGGGATACTGCAGTAGACTCCTAGCTGGCCGCCCTGCCTCAAGTCTCTCCCCACTCCAGTTCAATTTTCAAATACTCACTTACTCAATAAACTCCAGTGGCTTCTGTGAGCTTTAAAATCAAATACAAACTCCTGTTTGGCATTTAAAGGCCTTCACAACTGCTTCAATCTATGTTCCCAGCCTTATATTATATTATCTATTACATTATATAATAACCTTGCACATACTCAGTGGTTCAGCCAAACACATCTTCTTGCTATTCCTCACACATGGTGCTCCATCTCTCTTATGCTTTTGCATGGCTGTCCTCCTTGCCTGGGAAGCATTCCATCTTCACCTCCACATCATCACCATTATCATCAATAAGCATCTATTAAATGCTTCCTGTTCACCAGAAAAGAAAGGCAAAAACAGGGTCCTGCCCTCAAGGAGCTTACATTATAATGCAGGGGGAGGGGAGGGGCGCAATTTGTAAACAATCATATACATGCAAAATATAGTTTTGTTTGGACTGAAGCGGGGACAGACTTGGGGCAGGCAGACCATCCAGCAGCCTTGCAACAGTCCAGGCATGAGCCTGGTGTGGCCAGGTGTTGGTCAGGGTGGCCGTGGTGTTAGGAGAGAAGGGGCATATATGAGAGATGTTATGAAAGTAGAAAGCAAAGTTTACAGGCTTCAGCAACTGATAGGATGGGGCCAGGGATGGTGTGTGGGAGAATGAGGAGTGGAGGATGACACCTGGGTTTCAAGCCCGGAGGACTGGGAGGAGGGTAGTGCCTTTGACAGTAATAGAGAAGTCTAGAAGAGGTGAAGACTGGGGGTAAACATAACAAGGTCACTTTTGAACGTGTTGAATTTAAGATGTCAGTTTACTAGACATACAGTTTGAGAAGTTTGAAAGGCAGCTGGATATTTCAGATCAGAGGTCAGCATATAGTAGATATATAATAAATGTTTATTGATTGACTGACTCATAATTACGTATGAGTTTATTGGGGCTTGGTCTACTGGAAAGAACATGACTACATGAGCCAAGAGATCTGGAATTGCATCCTAGCTCTGCCACTGCTAACTGTGTATTAGCGCGTGTGCACACGCACACACACACACACACACACACACACACACACACACACACACAGAGGATCTCTAGTGCTTTATTAAATAAACAGAGGTGGTGTAACAAAACAGAAAAGATCATTCGTGTACTGCTCCGTCACTAATCACATGACTGGGAGAATCATTTACTCTCCCTCAGAACCCTAGTTTCCTCATCAAATAAAGTTCACACATAAAAAGGATAATAGTAGGTTCCATTTATATTGGACTTTAAGGTTCACAAAGCTCTCTTTCACAAAAGCTCTCATCAGGTACTGCAGAGACTGACATCACCATTTTATAGATACTGGAAAGAACCTTAGAAGGGGGAAATGACTTGTCCAGCATTACAAGACAATTAAAGTGATGGGGCCAGGAGCCAAACCCAAATCTTTTGACTCCTGGTGTTTCCATTAGCCCATGTCCCACCTAGCTTACCATAAGCAAAATAAATAGATATAGATATATAGATATGTATAGAGATATATAGAGAGATGTATAGAGATGTATCCACCATAGAGAAAAAGGTTGGCGTGGACAAAAAGCCAATAGGACTAATGGGGACCAACAGCTCTCATGAGATTTTCCAATTAGTGACTTCTTATAAAAGCATAAGATCAAGCATTTCAGGCTGGAAGGTACCTTACAGGTCACCAAATCAAAACTCCCAATTTTACATATGAGGAAACTGAGGCTCAGGGATAGGAAATAGTTTGCTCAAAGTCACAAAGGTTATCTCATTTGCTTTAGTCACTGTATCTGATAGACATGTGTTCCAATAATATTCTTTTGAAAGCATTTCTGTAGAGTGAGAAATTAGGTTAGGCTTTACACTGGCCACTTTGGGAAAGGGGTGAGGGATTCAGGTTTAGAATGTGCACTAACTATACCAGGATAAAATCAAAATGGGTACACTATTTAGATATGAAGACTGATACTATAAGCCAACTGGAAGAGCAAAGAATAGTTTACCTTTCAGATCCATGGAGAAGGGAAGAATTTATGACCAGACAAGAGATAGAGAACATTATGAAAATAAAAATGGACAATTTTAATTACATTAAATTGAAAAAGGTTTTGCAAAAATAAAGCCCATGCATCCAAGATTAAGAGGGAAGCAGAAAAGTGGGAAAGAATTTTTACAACCAAGGTCTCTGATAATGGCCTCATTTCTAAAATATCTAGAGAACTGAGTCAAATTTATAAGAATACAAGTCATTCCCCAAATGATAAATGGTCAAAGGATATGAACAGGCAGTTTTTCAGAGGAAGAAACTAAAGCTATCTATAGTCATTTGAAAAAATGTTCTAAATCACTATTGATTAGAGAAATGCAAATCAAAATGACTGTGAGGTACCACATCACAACCCAGATTGCCTAATATGACAAAACAGGACAATGATAAATGTTGGAGAAGATGTGGGAAAACTGGAACACTAATACATTGTTGGTGAAGTTGTAAAATGATCCAACCATTTTAGAAAACAATTTGGAACTACGCCCAAAAGGCTATAAAACTGTGCATACCCTTTGACCCAGCAATACCACTTCTAGGTCTATATCCCAAAGAGATCATAAAAACAGGAAAAGGACCCACATCTACAAAAATATTTTTAGCAGCTCTTTTTGTGGTGGCAAAGAATTGGAAATTGAGGGGATGCCCATCAATTGGGGAATGGCTGAACAAGTTATCATATATGAATGTAATGGAATACTATTGCGCTATAAGAAATGATGAACAGGTAGACTTCAACAAAACTTGGAAAGACTTACATGAACTGATGCAGAGTGAAATGAGCAGAACCAGGAGAACATTGTACACAGTAACAGCCACACTATGGGATGACTGACTTTGATAGACTTGGCTCTCCCCAGCAATGCAAGAATCTAAGACAACTCCAAAAGACTCTCGATGGAAACTGCTATCCACACCCAGAGAAAGAAATATGGAGTCTGAATGCAGATGGAAGCATACTCTTTGTTCTCCTTTTCCTTTATTGTTTTGTTTATTGCTTCATTCTTGTGGTTCCCCCCATTAGTTCTAATTGTTCCTTACATCATGACTAATGCAAAAATATGCTTAACATGAATGTATATGCAGAGCCTATATCAGATAGTACACTGTCTTGGAAGGGTGGGTGGGGAGTAGAAGGGGGAGATTTTAAAACTCAAAATCTTATGGAAGTGAATGTTGAAAAATAAAAATAAATTAACTAATTATAACTAAAAGAATGTGCACTAGCCTTAAAGTCAGAGATCATCTCCTTAAGCCTGTCTCCTCTTCTGTAAAACTGGGGTGATGCCACTTCATTAGGGTGGCTTTGTAAATTATGAAGTGCTAGATAAAGTGGAGCTCTTTTTATTGTTATTTTCCTTATTTACAGAAACCCAGTGATAGAAGGGCTGAATCAGGAGAACTTGGTATTGGAAGAGAAAAGAAGAGACCAAGTGCACTGGGTCTAGAGTCAGGAAGATGAGTTAAAAAACCAGCTTCAGACATTTAGCTGTGTGACCTTGGACAAGTTACTTAACCACTGTTTGCCTCAGTTCTTCATCTGTAAAAAGGGGACACACTGGAGAAGGAAATGGCAAACCACTCCAGTGTTTTTGCCAAGAAAACCCCATGGGGTCACGTGAGTCAGACATGACTCAACATAAAACAATAATGTGCCAGGCACTGCATTAAGTGCTTCACAATTATCATTATCCCCATGTTATAGTTGAGGAAACTGAGGCAAGCTGAGGTGAAGTGACTTGTCCAGGGCCATACAGCTAATAAGTGTCTGAGGCTAGATCTGAACCCAGGTATTCCTGACTCCATGCCCAGCACACTATCCCCTGTGCCTATTAGAATTTGGCTCTGTATATTTCAAGTCCTCTCAAAATAGAAACAAGCCAATGACCAAGACAGACCAAAGAAAAAACGTTAAAATACAGAGGAAGCAAATGTATGAAGTTCTCATTACCAAATGATGCATGAAATTTTAGAGACTAGACATGTTTTGCCCACAAAAATTTAGGCCTACTGTGCTGAATGCCGTTGATAAAAATGACAGGCTGTCTCCTGGAATTTCACTAACAAATGACAACCACCCAGTTTTAGTTCTTTCAGGTATAAAAAAAAGCAAGTCGTTGTTAAGCACAAAAAATAAAAATGTTTAAAAAACAAAAAGCTTCTCATCTTCTATTTCTCTTTGGCTGCTGTCTTTTTTAGCCTTGTTTGCCACAACTGGCCTTGGAAACAGCACATCTATTGAAAGCATTCTGTAGAATTCTCTCAATATAGCAGAAGTAATTCCTTTTAAAAACACTGCAATTCTTCTCCGTATTTTGCATGTTTATTTGGTTATCTGCCTTTGTTTGGAGTTTTGATCTTATAATAAAAAGTTCTGTAAATTTAATCTTAAATAAAAAGTTCTGTAAATTTGTAGGTGAAGTGCTTCGGCATTATCTTTGAGCATATTATTTATTAGAAGGCTGCTATTCCTCCTACCCATGTCTTTTGTCCAATAACCCTCCCCCTCAAAGGCAAAAAACAAAAAAAACAAAAAAACATATTTATTAGAAAGAATAATGTGTTGTCCCCCAAAACCCACTTGTGGACCTGGATAAATGAAATAATTCCATTTGGATGCATGTTTAACACCAATGCTTCATTTGTCACTGGGTGCGTGTTGGCTGCTGTTGGTTTCTCAAGGTTCTTACTATTAAACATAAAAAAGTTACCTTGCAAAAGTCTGCCTCCTCTATAGAGATGAAGGGCCAGGGCTGCCTCAAACTTCTCAATGCCAATTAGGCTGGCTACTGCAGTGGAGCTTTCAAAGTCAAGGGCATCTTTCAGAATACATGTGTGACCTACAGCTTCTAGATGATTCCTTCGACAAGAAAATGCCCAGAAAAGAAAAAGAGGCAGAAAATAAACATTAATATGCTATAGACTAGCTGTTATGATTAATACTTTAATCAAAATAGATTTTCCTTAATAATTCTTGGTTCCTAAGCTGACCTTTTTGGGCAATCTGGCCTAAAATAGATGTTCTCCCCGGGAAAAGCCAAATGGCTATCGCAAATGCCATTTTACCCCCACCCCTAGGCTATTTAATGTCTGTGGCTGTGTCTTTGCTCCCCCTTCCCCAGGGCCCAAGGATGACAGAGCACAGCACCAGCTCCCTACAGTTTAGTGGCCACACAACACTCCGCCATTTGTCATCATGGCACTTGACACATATGTTTCCTGTCTACTTTGTTGACTCCCTCTCGCTCTTTAACTCTTTCTCTCTGCATGCTCTTCCTTTGGAGAGCTCATTAATTTTTATGGTTGCAGTTGTCACCTCTGTGCTGATCATTCCCAAATCTAAATCTCTAGATCTGACCTTTGTCCTACCTGCTCCACCTTAGGAATATCTTCCCATCTGATTGTACCTCAAAGTCCGTATCACCAAAAATGAAGTCTTCATCTTCCCCGACTCAAACTAATTCCTTTATCACCCTTCTGTTAATAGCCCTTCCATTGGTCCTTGGGGTGATCTGGACTGCACTCTCCTTTACTCTCACAGTCAGTCATTCTTCCTTAGAAATGTTCTATAGTTACCCCTTCCACGGAGCAGGGATTAGAGGCATGGGGTCCCCAAGATCTGGAAAATTGGCTTAAAAATTTTTGGCCTCCCCATACTAGAGAAGAAGTTGGAATTATTATGGTTTTAAAACATAAAATATGTTGTTATACAATACTATACATATATTTTATGCATTTCTAAGTTTCTAAACTTTTTCTGTGTTCATCTGCAGCTTCCACAAAATTCCCATTTACTTACTTATGCCAGCCCACGATAATTTGAAACCATGATGGGGAAAGTTGCAATGGGGAAGGGATGACTATAAATGGTTTTATTCCCACTGCTACTGCCCTAGTTCAAGCCTTTGTGCTTATATTACTATTGCTTATATTATTATCATAATAATTAATATTAATGATAATAACTGTTTGCGTTGCTATTAATAGTCTTCTATGTCTGGTCTCCCTTCTGTGTCACCCTATCCCATTCCCCTACCCTCTACCAATCTATTCTACACAACGTTGCCAATGAATTGTCCCAATGCACAATTCTGATCTTGTTAATCTCCTACCCAAAACTTTCAGAATTAAATTTTAACTCTCCAAAATGGCATTCCAAGTCCATAATCTCACCTTACCTACCTATCCATCCTACAATTCTGTGATAGGAGGCCTCTACTCAAAGTCCAGTTTTTTGACTATCTATCTCCAGGCTTTTGTCCATGTTCTTCCTACTACATGAAATAAATTCTCCCTCCTCTCAACTTAGCTACCTCCTAGCTACTTTTATTTTTTTTAGTGAGGCAATTGGGGTTAAGTGACTTGCCTAGAGTCACATAGCTAGGAAGTATTATGTGTCTGAGGCCGGACTTGAACTCAGGTCCTCCTGACTCCAGGGCCAGAGCTTAAACTGCCTAGCTGCCCCCCAGCTACTCTTCAAAGCTCAACTTACTCCATAAGTTTTTTTTTCCTACTCTTCTAGCTTATATTGATCTTTGCCTTCTCTGAATTACTATAGAATTCCAAGACATTGTTCCCTAAAGAATTTAATCAAATGTTCTTGTCTATCTTGCCATGGGAATTATGTCTTGATTCTCAAAGAAATGGTAAGTTACCTGAAAGCAGGGTCCATTTCTCCTGTTTCTCTGCCACTATTCACTTAGCACTGGACTGACCACAGTAAGCATTCACTACATGAAGCACTGAATTGAAGTAAAATAGATGCCCTGTCATCATCATATCATACATGACTCTCTTCTAAATTCCATCATATTCCTAGGTCCAGGCTCTAGAAACACAACTCTAAAGAACGTGCTAGAAGAAGGACTAAGAATGAAGCAAGATAGTAAGAGAAACGGAAATCAAAACAAGCCTGGTTTCACTTCACACTCTGCAAATTGGCAATGATGACAAAAGATGGAAATAATCAATATAGGAAGGGTTGTGGGAAGACAGGCACGCTAGTACATTGTTGATGGAAGTGTCAATCAGTATAACCATTTTGTAAATCAATTTGGAATTATGCAAATAAAGTGACTAAATTGTCCATATCCTTTGATCCATTACTAGGTTTATATCCCCAAGGAGGCTAATGAACAGATAAAAGAACTTTTTATGATAGCAAAGAATTGAAAACAAAGTAGATGCCCATCAATTGAAAAATGGCTAAACAAATTGTGACATATGAAAGTAATGGAATATTACTGTGCCGTCAGAAATTATGAATGTGAAAAATCTACATGAACTGCTAGAGAGTAAAGCAAGTAAAGCCAAGATAACAATGGACACAATAACTACAAGAGTGTAAATGGAAAGAACATGTATAAAAATCAAAAGCGAATGTTGCAAATTAAAAAACAAGTATGACTTGAAAGAAGAGCTATGAGAAGCCACTGCCCAGCAAGTCCACAAGTGTTTCACATCGCATATCTTTTCAGACTTTTTCAATGTCTTAATCAGTTATGCTGATTCTCCCTGTTCTTTTTTTCTTTCTTTCTTTCTTTCTGGTCTTAACCATACCATTTGTTACATAGGCTGGCTCTGGGAAGGAGAGGGGGAGTGAGACACAGAAGGAGATTATGGTGGCGTGAAAAAACAAAATCCATCAACAAAACTTATTTTTTTAAAAAACAAAGCAAGAGATCAAGAAATGAAAAACGTTTATTTGAAACAGAAAAGTATATTTTTTTCAATAGCTTTCTCAAGTATAAATAGGTACCTTAAAACATGTGCCACCATTTTTTGTTATTTGTTTTTTTTTTTGGTGAGGCAATTGGCCTTAAGTGACTTGCCCAGAGTCACACAGCTAGTGAGTATTACGTGTGTGAGGACAGATTTGAACTCAGGTCCTCCTGACTCCAGGGCCAGTGCTCTAACCACTGTACCACCTAGCTGCCCCAACACCATTCTCTTTTTACAGGAAAATTGTGAGGGTTATCCTATTCAAACTTTGTTCCTCTGGTCACCATTTCTCTTGTTCTATTTCCTATCCTATTTTCCAACATGCTGGCAAGTATTCCTTCTGCTCCATTCTCCTAATTGGTGAATATCTGCCCCAAATACTATTTCTGGTGGGGACCCAGCCATGATTCTCTGGACTTACTTTCCAGACTTCATGTCCTCCTCCTCATTCATATGTGCCCTTTCCCTTCAAGCTCTCCTTCATGTGTTGTCTTCTTCCTGTTGAAATGTCAGCTCCTTGCAGGCAGGGACTATCTTGCTTGCATACATTTGTATCCCCAGTGCTTAGCATAGTGTCTGGCACATAGGAAGTGCTTCATCAATGCTTTATCTGTCCATCTATCCATTTCTCTCTCTCTCTCTCTCTCTCTCTCTCTCTCTCTCTCTCTCTCTCTCTCTTCTCTCTCTCTGCCTGTCTCTGTCACCATTCCTCTTCTCTCTTTTCTCTTTCTCTCTCCAAACAGGAAGTTAAATAGTTAAGGCAGTAAGGAAGGGTCATAGCGAGTTTAAATGTGGCAAGTATAGCAGAGAAGAAAGAATATGATGGGAAGATACATAGGATATTCATTTAAATATTAAAATAACACTCAGAGGCTAACAGATCCTGATTCATTAACCTGCACTTATCAAACAGAGAGACAGTCTGGCATAATGGATAGAGAAGTGACTGGGAAGACCTGAGTTCAAGAACCACCTCTGACCCATGTTGGCTATACAACCCTGGCAGAGTCGTTTCACCTCTGTTTTCCAGATAACTCTAAGTTAACAAGTTTCCGAGAAGGTACTGACTTGCATTGCTGGAAATGCTTTTCTCACCTGGGAGTTCTCTTTTCCAAAGAAATCACAGGGTCAAACATTTTATTCCTCTTAAGAAGATATTAGCAACAACTTTTTTATCATGATACCTATGCAAGAGAAAGGCTTTCATGATTCTAATTTCATTTCCCTATTGCCTGATAATGTTGGACATGACTGGTCTTTAATTTCTGATTGATCAGTAGTCAGCAGTGGCTCATTCCCTGTTCAGATGCTCTGTCCCTACTCTGTCAAGTAATAAATAGGTCTACAAATGCTGAAATTCACAAGGGATGCTCCTATTTATAGGAAATTTGCTTAAAGCTGCAAAATCTAACAGGGAGGCAAATAATCACCCCTGAAGTATCTGCTTTGTCAGCTCCCTAATTCTGGATATTGTACTGTCCTCAAGTATTGACAGTCTTGATTGCATGGCCCTCCAATAGGAGGAAAACCTCTGAAGACATAATTTAGATATTCAATTCAAGAAGCAGCAGAATACAATGTACAGAGTACAATGGCTAGAGATGTGGACCTAGAGGCAGGAAGGCCTGGTTTCAAATCATGCTTCAAGCTCTTCCTAGCTATGTGACTCTATGCTAGTCACTAACTTATCTGGGTCTTAGTTTCTTCAACTGTAAAATGGATAGATAGATAGATAGATAGATAGATAGATAGGTAGATGGAAAAGACAGAAGGAAAGATAGTTACATATGCATAGATAGATAGACAGACAGATGGATGGAAAAGATAGAAGGAAAGAAAAATATATATGCAGATAGATAGACAGACAGACAGACAGACAGACAGACAGACAGACAGACAGACAGATAGATAGATAGATAGATAGATAGATAGATAGATAGATAGATAAATGGATGGATGGATAAGATAGAAGATACACATACATACATACAGAGACAGACAGAGATAGATGGATAAAGACAGAGACAGGTAGGTGGATAGATGAATAGACAGAGAATTAGGTGCACAGCTAGCTAGATGGATGGATGGATGGATGGACACACAAAGAGACAGATGGAAAAAGAGAGACAGATAGATGGA